CGTTGCCAATTAGTGCTCTTGCGTTCTTCCTTTGATCGTGATTTCCTAACTTTATGTAAACTTCCCCATCCTTGTAGCTGCGAATGACTTTTGCTCCTGTCTGGGCGCTTATTTCTCGAAGTTTAGCACCATCTGTCCCCATTACCAATCCTTTGTACTTGCTAGGAATTTTCACTAGCTCCCACAGTGTGAACTGAACACCCTCCTGACAATTAAAAACAAAAACCGCAGATTCTGAATTAAACAACACAAAAACAACGGCTGCCTTTAAATGCGTACCAAAAGTAATGATTTCCGAAAAGAAACTGGTAATTTACAAATGGTATCTAATCTGCATTCAACTCTTGTTTGCTATTGTTGACAATAGTTAGCTAATGATACCACGACCAGAAACTTTGCATTTTTTTGTAAAAGCTAAGCGTAAAACAAATAAACTAATGAAGGAAGAAAAATAATAAAATAAAAAGAATAACAATTGTAAAACAATATTGATAACAACCTATCGCGAAGTTAAAACCAGAAAATATAAATTTAATCAATTTAAAAATTTCACACGCCAGAATAACTGTGTATTGCGTCACGAAGACCACGTGGCTTCCATAAAACGATGGTTGAATTTGTGTGTGTGTGCGTCGATTCTGACAATCCAACCTCATTCTTAATGACCTAGGAATAGTCCTTTTTGTACCCTTAATGACAATAAGACTACTGGATACCTAAGATCTTTTTCCCTCTTCCCCGGATATTATGACGTGATATTACTTGTGTCTTGAGTTGGAACTTTAGAAGTGGGGACTCTTGTCAGGTAAAAATAAAAAGGAGAACAAAAATTCTTAAGGAAACCACTTGTATTTGTGACTCACTACTTTTTCCAATATAAGCTTCTTTGCGTATGCTCTTTGCTCCTTATCACCGTTTACCAAGAATCCTTTCTCTTCCTTGCTCTGTGAGCTAATTCTTGCACCAGACTGACGCATGATTTCTTGCAACATGCAGCCGCCCCTTCCAATAACATGACCCTTTAGTTCTATTGGCACCTCTACAAACTCGCTCTCTGTCTCTTCAGCAGTGTCCTCTTTTATACCAGTATAAGAAAGTCTGAAGATTTTGAAGAGATAAGAAGATACATTAAAAATATATTGTGTTTTACAGAATCAAATCGTAATTCCTTGCAGTAAACTTTAGAGACCTAAATTTAATCATGTTTTACTATCATGAAAATGGCAACTTATTCTCGCGAAGCGAGCGGTCGAAGACCGTGAGCGACGCAAGATTATAATCTCGTCGGGCACGAAGCGCGTGTACCTCGCGTGGACTTGGCCAGCTGCAAAATCGTCCCCCATCACTTTTCTAATGGTCCGTCCTTTACAAAGTCTTGTAACAATTTGAGTTAATGTTTTACCCTCTTAGTATTACCTTACATCGGACTTGATGAAAACATGGTGTTATGATTGTCATATCGTATCTTGCAAAATATGGAACATCCTCGACAGATCTTTCCTTATATTTTCCTTTAAAGATTCTTTCGGTAAGTTCCACTCCTTCTATAAACGCCAGTTTCCAAAACTGTCCCACAGATGTTGACTGAAACTTTCCAATCACCTCGTCAATGGTCCATTCTCTTCCTTCAACTTTCTCTAAGAATATTAGCATTTTTGTTAACAAGGAAAAAAATTTTGTTCGTTTGTTTACAAATTTATTATAAGATCTATCAAGAGCAGTATTAAACACAAGACAGAAAATTAAGCAAACAAGGGAACAAAATACAATTTAAGAAAACAAATTAAATCCGGTTTCAGCAAGGAAAATTTTTAATAATGACAGCAAAAGCGCGCGAGATATGTTTGGGATAAGATATCACCGCAGTCTTCTCTATATTTGATAACCAGCTCCTCAATGACTAGGACTTTTAATTTTTGTGTCGCGTCCGGAATTAAATGGAAACCCTGTTTACGCACATACCGGTTTTTTACAAAAATGCAGTCAGTACTGACTCTTCGCTAGTCTTCTCTTATCATTTGTAAGCGGTCACGGGGCGGTCGCGGACTATTACAGCATCTCCGCAAAGGGGACAAGAAGGAGAGAGGGAAAAGGATCCATCTTCCTCTCGCGCATATTCCACCCGCTTCCCTTGTTAACATTTAATAAAGAGACAAAAGAGTTGACTGGGGACGAGTCAAACTGACTATATACCTTCACGATGGACACGGATATTGAACCTTCCAAAGTGGCACCACATATCGGCCTTTGGTTTCTCGGCTCCTAATGAGTGATTGATCTTCTTCAAAGTCATCAAGACATCTTTCATGAGTAGTCGCTTGTAGTCTAAGTAGCTATAGCTCTGAGAGTTGGACGATTCCTGATAAAAATAATATTAAGATTCGAAATCGCTAAACTCATCACATGAAACAACCGTGAGCACTGTCTAGTAAACTTCCTTAGTGCGCCTTAAAGAACACGATACTCGTCTAGGATTAGTAGTGATGAGGCCGCCATATCCATCAAATACATCTTTCAACGCAGATTACAATTGCAGACAATTCAACAACTAGCCACTCCTGGACTTAACATGACTTTTCCGATGAAATTCTTGAGTTTATTTGAATTTCATATCTACTGTGATATGTAAATGCGCACAAGTTGTTAAGCTTATTATGCCTTTTGTAATTAATTGGTTGGACCTACATGTTTCCATTATACTCTACGAGAGTTGGTGGCAGGTATGCAACCTAACCCTAACCCTAACGGTCATAGCATGTTAATGACCTAACTTCTCCATTATTGGGTTCATAGTTAAAAAAAATATCAATGGTCCTTTATCCTTCCCTACAGTTGCACGAGTCGATACACTCAAATATCGTGAAACAAAGTTAATAAGATAAGCCGAGAGCCCAGCTAAGGGCACTGATGACGATATCTCAGGTGCAAAGATCTCACAACGAATCCCCCCCCCCCCCCCCCCCCCCCCCCCCCCCCCCCCCCCCCCCCCCCCCCCCTCCCCCCCCCTT